CAGCAGGACGGGTGCAAAAACAATGTAAGCGCTGCATTAAATGCTCTTTCTCTATGGCTGCTCACGAGCTTCCGTTTCCGTCGCCGCTTAATTGTCAGCTCAAAGAGAAAACGTGACCATAAAACTTGCGGAATCTTAAACACTCTATCATTATTTATGGAATAATTATTATAAACCAAAGGCCGTGCTTGTTTAGGGCTTCTGCAAATGCTCGAGAACTTAATTCAAGCTAAATGAGTTATTCATAGCCCGTCTCAGTTTTATAGATCTTTCTCAAAATTAGTTTGTTGACAATCTGATAGAGTTTTACTGAATTCTCTGTCTCTTAAAGTCAGTCAGTCAGTCAGAGCACTCTGATCTATATGTACATATGATAAAGATTAAGCTAGAGGAATTTCTCTCTATTTTTACCATAGCACATGGTAGTTTATATAGATTTACGAGCAAACATTAATCTCGCAATCTGAAACAAGCTTCATTACAAAGTTAGTTTGCCTTTTGAGAGGAGCTGCATTGACTTTTGTTGCTGACTCTCAGCTCTCGACTTTCGACTCTCGACTAGCGACTCCCTACTGAGCTGGCATAGATTGTCGGTTCCATTTTGGGCTGTCTGCGGCCCAGCTGCGCTTCTATTCTTTATCAATTGTCTTGGTGAGCAAAGCGTTAATCATGCGCCTCTTAATGGCTTCGAGGCGCAGCGTTTCCCATGGGACACAGATTTCAATGGGCCAAGTTTCGGCTCATTGCTGTCCGTTGTTCACTTGGCCGTCCGCCTGTCAATGGCCAGAGCGATGCAAAGGGAATGAAATGAAAAATATGTTTTTTTTTCCTCACAATTTTCCTTTTTCCGCCGCACTCTGTTGTTATTGTCCTGACGTTGTGCTGTTGTGAAAAGAATACTTCGCTGGCCCAGTCAACACGCATAGCATTTCAGAGTCGAGCGCTGTGTTCCCTTTCAGGCAGCTCTAAGGCAGCCTTGCGTGTAATCGCGCTGCTAAGTCCATTTAATCAACTTAATTTTGTACAAATTCTCAGATATTTCAATTTTTTCTTCATTTTTTGCATTTGCTTCTCTTTTTTCCTTTTTTTGTTTTTTTTTTTTGGGCCGAGTGACGCAAGCGCCGTGGGCTGACAGCGCATTAAGTAAAATTTGTTTAGCGGAAGGCGGTGCGGCCGGGTTGTGCGGGCCAGGTATGACAGCTACAGATTTCAATCGTTGTTGAAATACAGTTTTCGGCACTTCAAACATTTTACATAATTTGCTTTTGAATACATTTTGATAAATGTGCGAACGTTGTCTGTGTCTGTGGTTGTGTTTGTGTTGTTCAGCTTACCATTTGAATGTTGCATACATTTTGGGTTGTTTCTGAGGCGCGTGTGGTATATATACAATATTTGGTAACATTTATACACGCTAACAATAATATGTTCATTTCATATAATAATGTAACGTAATAATTAGAAATTTAATATTGCGAAAACTACACTTGAAGTGGGCAAATTAAAAAATAACTTCATTTTATTTATTTAATTTAATTGAAAATGATATTAAAATTAATTTTGAGTTTATAAGTGAAGGTTTACACATACGTATACGTAATATTTGTTTTCACTTTGCCAGACCAACAATTTTGTACTCAGATAATTGAAATTCATCGGTTTGCAAAATGCCCTGTAATTATGCACAAATTCGATTACAATTAGAAATTGAGTTTACTCAATTCCTCAAATTTGAAAAATAATTGAAAATTCAATAAAATAATCGATTCAACTATTTAATTTAAATGCTTTTGATATGAGCTGTGACAAGGCTTTCAAATGTACACACACATTAGCTTAATAATTGATTAACCTAATACCTTTTTAGTAAATACAATTACTTCAAATTTGAGTTATTGAATTCCCGAAATAAAGTATCAAATGTGCCGAGTAAATTGCAGCTCTAATATTTATTGAATTTAAAATGAAACCTAAGTGCTTTGACCCAAAAATATATATATGTATATATGGAATTGAGAGGCCGGCTCAAATGCTGAAATTCGAGCTCATATCGTTTCGGGTCATTTTCACTTCAAAGTGCTGCCAATTTGTTCGAAATAACTCAACACAGTTGCCACTTGCAACACTCTATCGATTATCGACACTGTTATCAGTCACTTTAGTGCTTACCCCCTGTCAGCCAACCAATTTAACCCACACCCACACACACAAACACATCCACATACACAGATGTACACACGGCCTTCAGCAGGACTACAACTGAAATGAAACTGGGTTGCCATTTAGCTCAATTGGGCATTTGTTACGTGACACTGGACCATATACGCCCTTAGACCATAAAAATGGTTAATAGGTAGCTGGGGTCAGTGTGTTGTACCTATATATAGCACAAGAGGTTGCTCTCGACAAAAATAAATTACGTATACGTAATGTTGTACGATGTTTGCAATAATCTTTTATAATAATACCCTTAATTTGCTATATATAAAAATAAGAATAATATTAGCGTTCTCATATATATAATTCTCCTCTTCTTTAAAGGGTATTCCAAGGCATATCACTTAGTATTTTCAGCAGCACTCTGAGTTTTCTTCTCTGTTTTTTTCTGGCTTGTTTTTTCATTATTTCTCTCTTCGGTTCTGGCAGCTTGCCGACAAATGCTTCTTACATGTGTGTATTTTTTATATCCCCGCTATATCTGAACGTTTCAACTGATTTATGATTCAATAGTTGTTAGCGCTTCATGGACAATGCTGACAATCGCAGACATTTTCATAAGCGCATTTTTCTAAATTGCTGGACCCCTTTTTTTTCGTTCTCTATCTTCTTTTTCAACTTTTTACAATCATTTGACAAGAAATCGTTGCTGCGAATGTTTCATAAACGTCGCATTAGTGTCACAAAAAAGAAAAAAAAAAGAAGCAAATTCCAAAATAATAAAAAAAAGCTCCCAAGTGCTCATAAAACTGCAGACTTTACTGCTAGCGATACGATACGATAGAAACAGCAGCAGCAACGGTAATTTCGCTGCAATCGTCAGCTCATTTTTTCTCTCCTTAGCTCTCTTTTTTCCATGAATAGCAGCGCGCTTCGCTATTTGCATATAAAATCCGCTTAGCTGCAGGGTGAAGTGGCCGAAAAAATTCCGCCAGAATGCTGAAAGCAGTATACGACTGGAAGATATCCTGAGCAACCAGGGTCATTCAAGGTTAATATTGAGTATCAAATATATAAAAGTGAAGGCGGATTTTAAATGAGAACGCGTCTACACTAATTGTAGTATATGAGAGTAAAGTAGTGTGCGGCGGTGTTATATCAAGCCACGAATATATATATAATATAGCTCTACAATATATAATCACACAAACAACACACCCTGCTTACACATAGAAGTAGTTTAAGGTATATAGTAACACACATCCGCCGTGGCTGCCGTAGCTCTTGCGGGCGATGCGCTGCTTGTCCTTGGCATCGCCGCCATTGGGTCTGGCAGCCGGCGCAGCTCATAAAGTGGCATTGTAACATGGCTGGGGCTAGGCAACGAGCGAGCGTAAAATCATCATTTATCAGCAAGCACCCAGCAGCCAACAGCAAGCAGCCAAGAGCAAGTAGGCAAGCAGGCAAGTAGCAAGCAGCCAGCAGCCAGCATACAGGAGCAGCTACTAGCAGCAGCTAGCAGTTGGCGCCGGAAGATCACTTTGTCATTGTCAAGCCTTTTTAGAGAGTGTGTGACTCCAGCTACAGCGTACAGCACGCCCCTAACACACTCACACACACACTTGATATCCTGCCAAGTGGCAGTTCCTGCTGCTTCAGCCATTGCTTTAGTTCTTCTCTAACCAAAACTATTGCTCAAATCATGCATAGATACCACATACAAATACGAACGCTTGCAGACATGCACGTATTTGCATGCTACGCGATTCCCCTGCTTCCGGCTCAACAAATGTTTGCTGTTGTTGTTTTTGTTATGGCTTTTTATTATCATTTGCTATTTGATATTTTTCACAATGTTTCACTCGGTTTCACATCCGTTTCCGCGCATTTTACACGTTTGCTCAACTCACCCGCCTGACTAACAAATAAACAGTGCACATGGACATATGGTTCTTATTCACTTTTTATCTTTTTTTTTTTTTTTTTTTTTTTTTTTAATTCCTCACAGTCTGTTAAGCTGTGCATCCAGTTGACACTTTGAAGCACAGTTTGCGACACTCGACAGCTGCTGCATAACTTTTTACCCTTTCCCTTTCTATCACCCTATCTGTCTCTTTTTGCATTGCAAGTGCCAAATCAGCTTTATATACAGATTAGTGGGAACTCATATACATGACATCCAAATCCGAGTTGAATACCAATTTTTTAACTTGAATCAATTAATTTGACTTATTTTAGTTTTATGTTTGCGGCAATTGACTGAGAACCTAAGTATATGCTAAACTAAACTAACAATTTCTTTCGATATTTCCTTCTCAGCTTGAATTGCTTTAATTGTGAGCTATGTAATTACTTCATTACTATTAGCAGTGACAACATTCTCACCTTATTTATTCTATCAACTAAATACCTCATAAAAGCTCAATCAAATTGCTGTCAAAGTTGGTGCTAAAAACTGTTTAATAAATTTTCTTGTTAATGTTACATGAGCCAACAATGAGCTCAAATATTGTAAAGTGGAGTTTTACGAGGATTACTAAGGATTATCAGAGTTGTTAGAAGTTTTGAGCATAGCTAGGTTCCTATGAAATTGAATATGTGTATTTAAAAGTTAATTTGCTTTGTTGCCTTTTTCCGATTTGCTGCGAAATACTTGTGCAACTTTCCGAACTTAAAGCTAATTGATTCAAGAAACTTTGAATATTTCGCTGTATATTGTGTTAGTTAGCGGAGTGTAAAAGTTGGCTGCAAGCTGGAAAAGTTACGCAAAACTTACGACAATACAGAATGGTGTATTAATTTGCCAAACGAGCCAGATAAGTCAATAAGAAAGTCGGTTGGAATTACATTTATAAGGTTGCCTTTTATTTGATGCTTTAATTTCTGCTCAGTTTTCATAATTAGTTTTATTTTTAGATATTCTCTTGTTTTTTTGAAATGTTTTTTTTTTTTTTGTTTTATTTTTGTTCTTTTTTTTTTTTTTTTTTGTATTTTGTGTATATTTTGCACTTGCAGCTGTGGGAAGCAGAATTCAAATGCAATTTTACAGTTTTGTAAGCTTCACTTGAAAGTATTTCAATAGTTTTGTTTATTTATTTCTGTTTTCTTTAGTATTATCTTTTGTTTACAGAGCTTTAGCTCTGTGATGCATAGCATTAGATGCGCTTAGTTTGTCATGCTCCATTCATTACATTTAGGATTTGGATTTGTCTGTGTCTGTGTGGGGGGAATTAGTTTTGTTTTATTTATTTTTTTTATTTTTTTTCTTTTTGTAGTTGGTATTTTGTTATTTTTGTATTTCAACATACAGTACACATACGTAACTCGGTTTTATGTTTGAATATCATGTACTTAACGCAGACATATCGTACATACAATAAAAACACGCACACATAATAGACTTAGCCAGACTAGATATTTGTAAATATATATAATGTATATATATGTATATATTTATTCATATATTCATATAGTATCTATATGTGTAGTTAGTACTCGTATAAACTAGCAGTAACTAGTTAGTATTATTTAGTAATTTATATTATAATTTAATGCAGTTGATCTAAACATAAAAATTTAATGCTTAATGTTTGGTATCACAGAGAGGCGTGACTTTTATACAAATACACAAAAAGATAAGATAAAACAAGATTTAATATAATTATTGCAGAAAGTATTTAATAAATACATTTAAGAGTAACTTAGTATTGAGCTTTAGCTATACGAGTATAGTAAATATACGTTCTGAGACAGAGCTGCACACAGACATGGATAAATCTGTATCTGCTTGATTTTTGATATATGTAGAGTTTTCCTATTTACAGTTCCACAGTTTATAGACACCATTTTGTCATGCTTGACTACATATATATATATATATATATATGTACTTATGTATTTGTATAGTTATCGTATATTAAGTATAATTTATATGACACAATATCTTATGTGTTTATTTAATTTTAATTTTTGGCTCCGTTTGAGTATCGCAAATATACTACGCTCGCTGTGGGCTCAATAGATTCGATATCGATTGTGATTGTAATCGGTTCTCTTGTTTTGGAACTAAGAAACATAAAAAGGAACCGTGTGAAAACCTGTTCTGGATTAACAGTGGTACAACCATCTTGTGATGTGAGTTTTGAGTGTCTGTGTGCTACAAAACTATCGATATTCGATAGATTAAACAATCCAAAGTTGGGAAAAAGAAACATAGAAGAATGTATAGACATACTTATCGATTGTTTTGCAACAGTATTCAGTGTAAGTGTGTGTGTTTGTGCGAGTTGTCTTGGTTGTCTTTGGATGGGTAATTGTGTATATGTGTTTGTGTGTGTGTGTGTGTGTGTGTATAGAGTGGTTGCTGTTTGTAGACCACTTCATTGCTTAGTGTTACATTTAAAATTACAACGTTCAGTTACATTTAGAGGAGTCATCTACATTTATCGTTTATCGTTTATCAATTATTTTGTATCATATATCGTAATTATGGTTTGCGTTATGCAGCACTACATACAAAAAATACTCATAGGTAAACAGTTACATAAACATAGTTCATATAGATCGGTGTGTTTGTGTGAGTGTGGAAGAGGGTGATGCTTCTGTAGTTCGCATTCCTTGCCAAGCAGTAGTTTGCTGACTTATTTAGTTTTGGCTTATTCGTTTAGAGTACAACACCTATAGATATTTAGAGAGCCAAGTATCCAGAGATCCGTTGGCTTCACAGGAAGCTCTCGCGTGCACCATGCCGCTCATCGCCCAGCATGACGCGCTGCGACGGCGGCTCGCCGTACTGATCCTGATAGTAGTTCTCGCGCATCATGGTGTTCAGGCTGGAGCACCGGAAGTAGAGTATCTCCTGGAAGGGCTTGCGAAAGTCGCGATTTAGCGTGGCGTAAATAATCGGATTTAGCAGAGAGTTGGCATAGCCTAGCCAGAGGAAGAGCGAGGAGAGCGAAGGTGGCACATGCATCGTCTCAAAGGGTCGGATCAGTGCCAGTATGAAGAAGGGCAGCCAGCAAACGGTAAAGGCAGACATGATGATGCCCAGCGTAGTAGATGCCTTCTTCTCCTTGGCCAGCTGGAAGCGCAGCTTCTTGTGATGCGGAGATCCCAGCAGTCCCGTTGACCCGCTTACGCCACCGCCGCTGCCATGATGACCATGCGTTATGCCCACGCCGCCTCCTCCACCCCCGCATCCCCCTCCGCTGGTGCTCAGACCGCCGCAGGTGGAGTACGTAAGCGACGTGTTGCCTATGCTGCTGTGCCGGTGTCCATGACCAGCACCGTTGCCACTGCCCAGCTCAGTGTGCGGCAGGGCAGGAGCTGTCGCCGTCTGCGGCGAGCCGGTGCCGTTCATCGCCTGCTGTAGATGCGTCTGGGCGCGTTTCTCCTCCAGCACAATGCGCCGTGCAGCCTTGAAGATCTGGTAGTAGACGAACAGCATGACGGAGAGCGGTATGTAGAAGGAGCCGAGCGTTGCATAGATCTGATAGGCAAAGTTCTGGCACACTGTGCATATGGGCTGGCCATCCTCGTCCTCGTGCTCGTTACCCAGTATCAGCAGCGGCGGCAGCGAGATGCAGGCAGCAGCCAGCCAAACGATGCCCACGCAGAGCATCATGCGCCGCGGAGTGCGCTTGACGCCGTACTCCAGGGGCTTGGTAATGGCTAAGTAGCGGTCAACGGAGATGGCGCACAGATTCAGTATGGAGGCGGTGCAGCAGAGCACGTCGAACGACACCCAAATGTCGCAGAGCAGCGTGCCAAAGCTCCAGCGCTCAAGCACCTCGTACAGCAGAGCCATAGGCATGACGAGCAGGGCCACGCAGAGATCGGATAGTGCCAGTGAGACGAGCAGGTAATTGCAGGGCCGTCGCAGCTTGCGCACCATGCAAACGGCGATGCAGACGAGCACATTGCCCACCACAGTGCCCAGGATGACAATCAGCAGGATGATGCTCACTATCACCGATTGCAGCGGCGGCAGCTCAAACTCCTCCTCGCCGGGAGCCAGCTCGTCCAGCAGCAGCGGAGTGTCCGACATGGACACCAGCGTGCTGCTGCTGCCATTCGGAGTGCTGCTTGTGATGCCCGGATAGCTGACAATGGCAATGGGGCTGCTGTTCACAGAGCTCGCGGCAGATGCAATGGCGCCCAGGAAGGCGCTGCTGCTGTTAAAATCATCGCTCAGAGTGCCGCTGTCCGGGCTCTTTGTGGGCGGCTGTTCCGTCGACGTTGCTGCTGCCGTGGCGTAGGCTATGCAGCTGCTCAGGCAGAGTATGAGCAGCGTCAGTGTGGCTGTGGAGATCAGTTTGTTGTTGTTGTTGCGGGTGTAATTGTTATTGCTGTTGCTGCTGTTGTTGTTGTGCTGCTGAAGTGGCTGATGGCGTCGTAGGCGGGCTGCTCCTGCTGCTGCTGCAACGCAATGCTGCCCAGGCGAAGCCATCAAATTATGAATTTCTTTTGTGCTTGCACTTTCTCTTTGTGCCTTGCAAATAAGAATTTGCCTCGTACAGCGTGTCGTATGAGCAATTTACCTTAATTGCTATTACTGCTGTCACTGTCGTTGTTCTTGCTGCTCTCGTAGTTGCTTGCACACCGGCAATCAACAGCGTCGGCGTCAACAGCATTGACGCTCATTAAACGGCCTTTGATTAAGTTCATCATCATCAGCATTGTGTGCTGGTCCATGGCTTGACAAACGCGTCAAAATTCGAGCCTTGGCCGCAGCAATATCATTAGCGTGATGTTCATCACTGGCATCGTCATTATCATTATGGTCATGATCATTATCATGGTCAATGGGCTTGTGCCCTTAATTCGTGACAATGCGACGATTCTTCATCGCCGTCGTGCAATATTTCTGTCATTAATCATAATTTCAATAAAAATAAAGTCGTCTTATTAGTTCTGTCTGCCTCGCAGTTGAGCTTCCAGGCAGACCCAGACCCGGACCCGTAGTCGGAGCCGGAGCCGAAGCCGAAGCCAAAGCCGGAGACGACTCAGCCAAGGCTTATTCCGTGTACGTCGGCCCTGGGCGTTGCTTTTGTGATGCTTGATTACTAATTTGATGTGCGCTTGGCCGTCCGTCCGTCCATCCCTGCCAGCCTACGGGCTAATGTGGCGTATGCTTAATAAAACGGTATTTGCGGTCAGCTTAATAAATGTTTTGTGCTCACGGCTGTTTGCCGTAATTCTTGATGTCGCTGCCGTTGCCGCCGCACTTAAAGACTCCTCCGAACTATTATTGTGTCAGGCTTTAAATCTATATATATATATGTATAGATAAGTAGCTGAATGTTCTGTTCAGGGTGTTTGCTGTGCTCTGATTGTCGCGGTGCTGCAAAGAGAAGAAAAAGAAAGGCAACAATTGTAATTGAACGAACTTAATTGAATTAACTGAAGATGTGTTGAATAATAGAATTGAATATAAAAGTTTTTTCTTAAATTTAATTGTAACTAATAGTACTTAAGGATCGACATACATATAACATATGTATATCAGATTATGCTCGTAAATTTGTTTTAAATACAGCCCCAAAATATATTTAATATTTATTCACTTTCTTCGTTTCTTCATTCCGTCCAGACGTTTGAACTGCGAATGTTTTCCCAGACTTTTTTGTTTCGCACACATAGCCCCATCCAGGGCTCAGCTCTGCTCTGCGCACATGTGAAGCTCTTGATGGTAGCAGTTGTTACAGTTTTTGAAGAAATTTTAAAACAATAAAACACAAACTTGGCCGTCCCTCGAGTATCCAGAGGCCGCCGGCCAAACGCAGATGTGTTTTTTCTCGGTATCAACAACATCATCATTAGCATCCCCAGCATCAGCATCAGCATCAGCATTAGGATCATCGCCTTCTCTTGCTGCGACGCATATAAAACAAGTGAAGCAGAAGGCAGCGACCGCAGTTGCCTTCTGCGTCCTTTTGCATTAATTTTCATACTGCCTCCCATTATTGAATTGTTGTACTGCTGCCACGCTCCCAGTCCTCAGCCCCTATACGCGTCACTTGATTGTGCGTAGCAAATAAACAAAGAGCAGCCGAAATGCCAGCGTTGTTGCTCATCTCGTGGCTGGTTTACAGCTTCCGTTTTGGTATTTATTTTTTGGCGAGAGTCTGTTTTTTTTTTTTTTTTTTTTTCGGTCAGCGAAAACCGCGAGCACAAATATAAATTTCTACGTTTAGGGCTTAATTGAATTCCCCCCTCCACATCATCTGCGCAATGTGGCAACGATTGTGGCCTCACATGTCTCTGCGACAAAATTTATTGAAGTCAGCCAAGAATGGCAATCGAGCCGATATACTCAAAAGCGCGTCTAGACGGCCAGACGTTGCCACAGCTGCAGCTGGGCTCAGCTAGGAGCTCAGCTTTCCCCAGCTGCCGCCGTGTCCATTCACCTGAGCATGCCCTTTGAAGCGTGGCTCGAATATTAAATTCCCACTAGTTGGAGCATTAAAGCGCTGCCAATCGACATAAAGCGAAAGTTATGCGCCACTCGCAGATCAAACAGCGTGCGAGGTGTGGGAAAAGCACGCAAATTTTAATTAAACCTTGTAAATATTTGTTTAAACGAAATGTAGAATTTACCGTGGTACTCGCAAACGTAAAATTCAAACAAAATGAATTAATTAAGAATAATAATAACATTTAAGTAAAACACTTTGTTGCGACTAAATGTTGGTGCTTAAAATTTTATTTATATAGGTGGATATATACAGTTGGATATATATATCTGTATGTTTATAAATATATATACACATATATTCAAAATGTTATGTATTCAATTATAGCAGCAACTACAATTCTATTAGTTTACTGAATGTGCATTTTATGCCCTGCAGATATAGATTGGCAGCACCCAAAAGCAGGTTTTTGCCACTCAATAAAATTGAAATATATATATAAATAAATAAATATATCTGTTTTTATAGTCATGCTAGATATTAAAAAAAAAAATTTTGTCATCTCGGAATAACGCGCGCATATATTAAGATATATTTTTACACTTTTATTTAGATTATAATATACACATTAAACTTTTTGTGAGCTCTCGGATTGAAAATATAAAAATTTAAAGAAATATATATATATATATTAAAAAAATAAATTAATGAATAAGCAATAAATAAATAAACCAACCCAGAAATGGCTCAAGTTATTCTTGTCATGATATATCGAGGACTATTCCTACATATATCTATCCACCATCTATCCACCTATATATCTCAAGATTTGGAAAAGTTAATTGCGCTTGCCTTCAAAATTTGTCGCAATTATTATCAAGTTCAAATATTTATATATATATATTTTTGGTATTGTGGTCTATTGGTGGTGTAATTTTCGATCTCTACCTCTAGGTTATGATGAAATATATGTATAGCAATAGATGCCTAACTTACTTACTTAATCACAGCTGAACTTTGACTTCTCGCCCGCATATTTTACATATGGAATATCTCACTGAATTTTATTTTGAATATAGAGTATTTTCTAGTTGGGCAAATCCAATAAAAACTTCTGCACTAGTTTTTCATAAAATAGCAAATTTGCAGCTACGTCATATGCAGAGAGCTGTTCTCGTCCTTTGATGTGATAATAAACTGAGCGTAAATAAATCCATTTACTCTTTACAGCCAGAGCAGTAATTATTTTGTGCTGTTTATTATTATAATTTTTCAACGAATTTTTCATATTCGAGATTATTTCAACAGCATGTTTGGCGAGGCGAATTGAATTTTCAGCCACTTATCTGTTTGCATAGGTGAGTGAGCATGTGTGTGTGTGTGCGTGTGTGCATGTGTGAATGCGGGTATGAAACTAGTTTGCATGTGAAATGCGCTCGACTAATTTTTGGTTGATTATGCTAATCAGCTGGCGAATGGCCCAGAGGACGAGCCCGGCTGGAGCTGAGGGGCGACGAGGCAAAAGTGACAGCGGCTAGTCGACACAAATGGCGCAATTATTTGGTCAGCAAACAAACAAACAAAGTGTAAGCCGCTTTAAGCATTTGCGGACAGCTCGTAAGTCCTGTCCCAAATGTTGATTCACATTTTCGTATCTGCTCGACTTTGCTCTGACAGCCGCATAAATAATTGAATTTAATTATGTCTCTCGCTCTGAGTGTGCCGAAAAGCCAGGCATCTACCCAATTATTGCCAACTGCCAACGATTATATCATCTTTCAGTGCCGTCTCCCTTGCATATTCTGCTATTCATATTAAAAAGCTTCTAAGCCGCTGGCGGTTCATAAATTATTTGCTGCCAACGCGTCGTATGAGCAATTATTTTTTTTATTTTTGTATTATTTGATTCTCGTACCTGCGCGAAATTCGGCTTTGTGACCACACCTCGGGCCATTTACCATAAGTTTTATACTAGTTGACATTTCTGGTGGTGGAACCTCAGTTCCGCTCTGCCGAACTTTTCAAATATTTAGCATTTTCGCTGGTTTTGGCTCTGGAAACCAAAGCAGCGACGACGTGGCAGCGTCTTGGGGCTTACCGCAGTCTCTTCGAAAGTTTTTCGTGTCTGTTCGTCTGCCTGCTTTACGGCTGGAAAACACGCAGTACGCTGCAGTAATGTGGGATATAGAGAGCGAGCGAGAGAGTCACGCAGAGAGAGAGGGAGAGAGAGACAGAAGCCGAATTGGCAGGAATATAAATGTTACTAAATAAGTACAGTACGAGTTCCATAGTTTCGCCTGTTTGTTTGGCATAGTGCAGAGGAAATGCAATAGTTTTGTTATTGGTTTGCTAACAATTTATTGCAGCCAAGCGCAAAAAGTGGGCTTAAGCCTAAACTTTGATTAAGCAGAGACGAAGATGGCCCAGTAACTTTTGCACTTAATATTTTAAGCTTGTGCAACTTGAGTTTATAAAGTAATATTCGATAAATTTATAAATTTTAAGCCAACTCCAAGGCTAGCAGGGCTCTTGAGGAATTATCTTCAGTAATGAAGTCATACAAAGGTGCGGAAAGCTTGAAGTCAAAATAGTATTTCTTGAAACACATATTCTGCTTCATAAGACGAGAATAAAAATGGTTTGTAGTATAAAGAAAAGAGAATAAAATTATAGATTTGCCTATAAACTCATTTATAAAGTAAACATGTTTATTAGAAGAAAAATGTTCCACATTAATAGCAGCCCATCAAAAAAACACTCTCAATCGATTAACAAATTTTTACAAAATTATCTGTTTATCCGCTATGCAATGATCAGCTAATTTCAGTTCTTGGCATTACGCATTATTGACTCCGTCAATTGGCACTATTATCGTTATGGGGTATCATTTTTTATTGCGTCTGCTGATTCTGGCTATTTTGCTTATATTGTTATTGGCTGCACTTAAAGCTGGCTGTCTAAACGAACTGAGCGCAGCGCAGCTGCACTGGATGCCCGCCCATTAACTGCACTGAAAATCAACGGGCGTTAACTTAATTCCTGCCCGATATGCGAAACAGTTTTTTTCTCGAAGCAAAACAAAGAGTCTGCAGCCATTGCAGCTGCAAAATAAACCACAAAAGGCATTGCCAACACAAGAAGAAGAAGAAGAAGACGATGAAGCAGATGAAGCAGAGCAATGCAGTTTCTTTGGTTACGTTTGGCTTGGCTTGGCTCGGTGGGTTTATGTGGGCTGGCTTCATGGTCTGCAGCGCACTTCGGTCGCCCTGCTTTTGAGGCATGCCACGATAGAACCGCCCCGCATCAGGGCGCATTAAGTTGCTTTTTGTTGCTCAGTTGTAAAAAGCTTTTTAAATCCGCGCGGATTTGTGGCTGCAGTGCAAAATGCATGAAATAAGTGACTCAAGCTTAGAGATGGCAGCAGATAGTGGAAGCTGAACTGAAGGATGCTTTAGCTCGGCTACAACCGGGTCAATTAGAGTGTCGGACTAGACACGCCCAGCGCACAGCTAAGCCCGTTAAACTCGCTTATACACGGCGTATATGCAACATTGCGTCTGCCCTTGAGCGGGTTTCAATTATTGAGTCATCAAATTTGATTTCTTAACATGTCTGGCAGGGCCTTTTTTTCAATTTTATTTTATTTTTATTTTTTGCCAGCCTGTTACTTATTTATGTAATTCGTTATCCCTGCCAGCATTCCTGTCATTTGCCATTCACCAAGTGCCTGATGTAATTTCAATCTGACACGTCAAACATGCATGCCGGGACTGATTGGCATATGGTCGGAGCGCCAGAGCGCCAGAGCAGCGGAGTACCGGAGCACCGGAGCACCAAAGAGCAATGGAGCTCCGAGGGTACACGCAAAATTGCTGTAAATGGATGCGAGTTAAAAAGCCAGCAATTTTAAATTGCCGCCGTCGACGTTGGCGCCCTTTTCACATCGCGCTGCCCCGGCTCCCTCTCAGTGTCTACACATATAGATGCTCCTATACACAATGCATTGTATATGCGCGTATGTATTTTAAAATATTTTCTTTTTATTTCATTTGTTGAGGGCGTGTTGCGCACTTGATGTTTATGTGTCAGGCAGATGCTGGTTTATTTTGTTTTCTTGCTTTGCTTTGCTTGCCTGTAAATAATGAATGCGTTTATTCTGAATCATATATTAATGCCGAGCGCACTTACACCAGCCAGCCAAGCGCACGATGAGACGAGTTAGGCGACAAAGTAATACGCATTATTACTGTTAGATAAGCGAACGGATAAAAGGAGACGGAAAAATGTAAACTTTATAAAAAGTTTAACTTTTACTTTAATAATTATATTTATTACTTTGGGTTGAAATTTTGTAGAGCAGTGTAGCACGAATTCCGGCATTAAATGCCTACACAGTGGCATATGCGAGCATTTTCTGCGTGTGTGTGTGTGCGTGGGTGTGTGTGGGTCTGTGTGCGTGTTGAGTTTTGTGTGTGCATAATAAAATTCCGTGCAAAAAACATGTGTAGAAAGGACGGCTAACGGTGAAAACATTTGGCAACGGGAAAATTGCTTATCTTTACTGTTATATTTGTTGCTGTGTTTGTTTCTTGGTTGACATTTTCATTGGTGTTTCACGTTTCATGTTTGATAATGCTATGCATACATACAATTGACTCGCCGTGCGTAGGCGTGTAGGCGTGTATGAGTGATATGATTTGCATATGTATGTATGTGTGTGCATGTGCGTGTGTGTGTATCGTAATAAAGCATTAAATTTTACATAAATTGCGGGTACAGTTTGGTAGCTGCCTCTGCCAACAGCAGCAACAACAAGCAAACAAAAATGGTATTTATGTATACACATTTGGGTTTCCTTTTGTCAGGATAAGAGCAGCAGGAGGAGCAGCAAAGCTGACATTCGATGCCAACATGTTTTGCATGTTGTTGTTTTATGTGATTATTTATGGCGCCGACTTATGGAAAACGCCTAAAAGAATATCGCGCCTATGATGATTTTGTTGCTGTTGTCCTTTTATAGGAAATTTATGTTTGTGCCATTGCCCAAGACCGAAGGCCAAAATGCTAAAGTACCAAATGCTAGGACCATGTATATACATATACATGATATATTGTACATATATTTGACTATCAAGGTTATTTATTTGATTTTAAGTTATTTGTCGGGCATCATGCTGTGACATCATCGGAGCAAATTCATTCAGGCCTCAATGCCATTGAATACCAAATTCTAACAATGCATGCTGTTTGCTATCAATTAACTGATGAACGATGCAAAGCGATTCATATTGAATAATATGCTGTCGAAATTGGTTAGATATCTTCATGTGCATCTTTGTCGCAATCCTTCACATTGCGATTGTATTTGTGTCAAACTCGACAGATTCTCGACAGGAATTCCACTTTAAGCAGAGCTGCTTCAAATTTCTCTATAGATATTTATGTATATATACTGTACAATATAATTAAATATCTGCTGCTGCTGCTGCTGCTTCTGCTGCTGTCGTTGCTGCACACATTGTGCAACAGTGCATTCTTTTTCTTTTGCTGCCAACAATTTTTCACTCAATAAACTTTTGTGAATTCTGTTGAAAGAGAGAAACGATGTGGTTCAGCGTAAGCAGCAAAATGTTGGCCATGATCTCCGAGCAAGTCATAAAGTCTCTTTATGCGGTTGCCAAATAAAATTTCGCAACGCTAATTGAATTGCTTGGCTCTTGATGCAATCCTGATAAGCTGAAAGCACTTCATAAGTTCGATTGTCGAAAGCTGTTTGTATGCCAAAAAGACCGAAATCACTTCATGAAAACCAAACAGAAGAGTTAAGTAAGAGCGATAATCAAGTTAAAATTACTGCATGCTTTTATATATTTAACATTTTAAAGACAAGTTGAATTTCGTCTGAAGAATATTTGCATAAAAGATGCGTGAAATGCCTTAACTCACCTGTGTCTTATTCCTCTTCCTGTAGGCTGCTTCAATGTAGAGATAACTGAAATAAAAGAGTAAATAATGTAATTAAAGCAGTAAAGAATACACATACATACACACACACACACACACTTCGTCAATAATAAACACACGTGCTTACTTAGAATAAAATTTTGCGTAAGGCCTCGCAATCACTTTTCAGCTCCCTCTCTCCCTCCATCTCCTTCTGCCTTCAATATACTTGAGTAATGGGCAAGCAGCAAGAAATTTGTTTTTGTTATGTAAACATAATATGTTGCCTGCTGTATGTGCGTATGTATGTGTGCATGTCTTAACTTTTGTGTGTAGACGCAGGAATACTCTGTAGACGGCATCAATCATACGCCATGCTGTGCAGCGCTGAAGTGTGGCTAAAATGCGGAAGCCCACACACGCACATACTAGAGCAAAAGTTGCAAAATTGAAAATTTATCGACTAGAACGTTCACAGAGAGAAAGAGAGAGAGAGAGAGAGAGAGATAGAGACACATATATGCATGCATGCGCCCAGCATGTGCAGCCACAACATGAGCAGCGCTAACAAGAAATTGTCAGCAAGAAATTCGCTTGGAACAACATCAAACCGCCATGTCATCGCCCGCTGTGGCACACATCCTCTGGCTTCTGCCATCCAGCAAGTTGAGCTGTTGCACGCGTTTCATCAACGTCACGCTTAGCCGCATGCGAGACTTGGTAGGCGCAGGATATGCGTATAGAGCCAGACGCAATGGCAGTTGCTGCTGGCAGCTGCAGCTGCTCCAAGGCAAGCTTTTCCCAGACTGACAGCCGTGTGGAACGTTGCACAAATAACAAAAATGCAACTGGTGAAGAGGCACTAACAACAACAAAAACAACAACAACAAGAAAATCAACAACAATAACTGACAACGGCAAATCCAACATTTGCTTCTCGGTCGCATTACGAACGCTCCAATGAACAATTCGCTGTTTACGCTTGATTATTAACAGGGATTCAGGGTGGCAGAGGGACAGAGGGACAGACATTACAACAGTTGATTATCTCATGCTAATGGCTTCCGTTTGGAGCAACTTTGTTAGCCGCTAATCGACGATTTACATATGTCTGTGCTATGCAAACAATTTATATAAGCCATTAGCGTGGCGAATGCAACACGACTAGGACATACACTTTCCTTAAATATATGTTGATTATGAAGATCACATATACATCGCCTTTCTGACTTTTCACCATAATTGATTTGAATATGCTAACGATAATTTTCGTTAGTGAAATCGAAATAAACAGAATATGGAGTAGATATTAAGAGGAGAAACAGCTTTTAGCCACTTAGAAGCTTAATTCCCGTTAAGTATGAAGTATTTATGCAGCTAATTGCAAAAAAAAATATATATATATATCTGTTCAGCGCTGCAAAAGAAATGCATAAATTATAATCCTAATGGACTCTCTGTGAGGCGAGCATTAAAATGCAAAGAGCCGAAGCCGCAGCAAAGTTGATGGTGAAATATAAATGCGGGCGTTAAATTAGAAAATGGAATAGACTGCTGAAAAGCAAACACATGCAGTCTAAGCACTGCGTCGCGACGCGCCCACTTCTGGCAGGATGTGTAACAGACCCAGACAGGGGATAAGGATAATCAAGCTCTGTCAACAGCGCGAGCGTGTTGGGTGTGCGGTGTACGGTGTGAGGTGTGGGGTGTGAGTGGCCAACTACTCGACAGTTTTTAATTGAGTTTACGCTTCGTGTGAGGCAGCATGCAGTTGCATGCAACATGAGCGAGCGTTATGAAAGAGGCAAACAGCGACTACTACCGCTGGCTGGATTCGCGTATTACTCGCATAATACTTGTGCGTACTCGCACATGAGCTCAGCTGGAAGTGACTCGCTTTGCGGTTGCTACTCGACTCGTCTCAACCGCGACAACGAGCACCATTATCATTACCGTGCTGCTGTTGATGCCGCTGCTTCTGATGATGATGTTGCTCAAGAATGTGCAGCTGCATGACACAAAAATTTTAATTAACTTAATTAAGTGCATCCTGCGGTTTTTCGGTCAACTTCTTACCACTGACGACAGTCGTACCAACTGTCAGTTTCCAACCCACCGCAGCCTTGCGGCATTGTCTCTCTGCTGCTGCAAATTGCAATACAGAGCTAGCCCTCACCGCAGCCTGATGGATATGCCATTCAATTGAATCGCACCAGCCGCAGCTGGTTCGCTCCACTCAATGGGACAGCTGTTGCGTCGTCATTTTTGTTTACACTTAAATGGAAAAGCAATAAGGACGACTCCCACGCACACACAGTTTACTATAATGGGCAGAGATCTGACACTAAAGAGCAGCACGGCAGCGTCGTTGCTGCCACAGCAATCGCCACAGCTAAAAGTCAACATTAAATATTTATGACGCTGCACAAAAAACGCAATCAAAAACGTGAGAAAAGTTTCTATTGCATAGTTATGCGCGCTCCGAACGGATACAAAAGCGGGGAATAAAAAAGCTGTGACTAAAAAATAACAAACAGAGTCAGATTTCCAGCGAATATAGAAATACACTCGCTATATTTTAGAAATATTTGTTTTATGCTAATATTGACTCAGATATTAATAATGTAAGAAACAAATATGATGCATGCGAAATGTGTTGACGCATATAAAGTGAAAATGGGTTGAGTCTAACTGGCTTTAATTTTAGTTTTGATCAGGCTATATATATCCATAAATATATATATATTTTTTTTCTTTTTTTAATTGGTAAGACTTGAGAGAAAACTCAAACTAAATTTTTTTCACAAATACTGGGCAATTTTATATTAGTAAATAAATTTATTGATATAAAGGAGATTTAACAATTTATGCTGGACTCAGCACGGAGGCGAAATCAATTGTGAGCTTCAATGATCTCTACTGAACTCACAGCGACCTATGGTAAACATTTACTGAATTGCTTAATGCTGGAGGGCGATATTAACAGAGGCTCGAAGAACCAGACGAATGAGCTATACGGATATATGTCTTACATACATACATATATAAGTGATTTATTCTTAGCTAATATGACACTTCAAATATTAGTCTTATAAATAAACATCACTTTTCTATAGCATTCATATGATTTATTGATTTCCCTGACCAATTGGAGCAAGTGTAGACTCAACATATACATTTATATTGGCATTGTCAATATATAATACATACCTAAATTCTAGTATAGCTAACTAACCCTTTTGCGGTGCTTTATTACAGCATTGTATTAAATAACTAGCTCACTCTATGGAATGTAATAAATTTGGATGGAGCGTAGCCCATAACGACGAGCTAAGTTCTTTTTAAGGTGAGGCAAAAACTGTATTGCTGTGAATAGCTGCAGAATGCAGAATGGTATTCAATTTAGGTAATTTATGGGCAGCCATTGTTTGGCTGCTAAGGCTCCAAAGTGGCACCGACTGCACAATGGCTATATTTATTATCGTTTTATTTGGCCACTTCAAAGCGAAGCGCTATTTATACTATATACATTATAAAATTCAGATGTCAGCAATGCGCGCGCTTCGCTGCTAAGCCAGCAAACAGCTGCGCCAGCTCCAATTGAAAAATGCAAAATGCGAAATGCAGTTGTGAATGGGAGAGCACAAAAGTTGGCTGCAGCACAACGAAAATAAAAGATGGCTGACAAAAATGGCTGTCACTGCGTGACTCTGTGTGTGTGTGAGTGAAAGTGTATGTGTGTTTTTCTCTGTCTGAGATGTGTGCAAAAGCTCACTTATGTGCAGCTTAGCCGTGCAGTAGCGAGCGAGAGTTCTTCGGGTCTGAAGGTGCGAGGTTTTCGCTGTAAAGTTATTCGCATTAGATTTGTGAGCTGCTGCTAATTAGCATAAAGTTGGCATCAGCTCAAGGCAGCCATTAAGTTGCCACACAAAAGTTGCTTTGTGCACCTGAAATGCGTCCATTCATCTAGCCATCAAAGCTTTGGCCGACTTGACAGCGTCGCTGTGCTCGCTTCTGTGCTGTTCTATTATATTCTGGTTTCATGACACTTCAATTCAGTTCTTGGTTTTATCTCTCTCTCTCTCTCTCTCTCTTTCCCCCTCGCTCACTTGCCCACTACTTGTGCTGCTGCTAGTCCCATTCGTCGCCTCATATTTCTGGTCTTCTCTTGATGCTTTCCGGCCACTTTGCTTTGGCGCCGACCCTGCCCTTCAATGCTTTTGTTCAAGCTGAAGCAAGTCTCGCTCATCTCTTTGATAAATATTAGTTTAATTCTTTTTCAACTGACGACCAGGGCTCTCAGGAGCACTCCCAAGGCCACTTGCAACCTCTGATGCCCCGGCGACTCTTGATTCGTTTGCGTTTTATATGCGTCTTGTATTGCTAATTGGATACTCTGTATATATAGCTCGTCTATTTTATTTTAATAATTTGGGACTAAAATTCAATTCGAAATACATATATTTCATTTTATTTTCATATCTTTTCATCAGGATAGTTTGATATTAAAGTATTAAAAATTCTTTGCTTAACCTAAACAGAGTATATTCAATTCGGTCATAGCCTAACTGCCAGAAACAATGCGTTTCTCCTTGATTTATTTTGCTTTAGTTGTCTGGCTTTGGCATTGAGAGAGTTGCGTTTATATTTCGTGAGAGAAAAATTTCATTTCGCCCGCATGGCTAAGTGAAAAAAATGTAAATATTAGTTTTTGATTGAAATTGGAGACATTCACTTTAGCGAAGCAGAGGGAGCGCATGAAGCATGCATATCCATAGTAAATTGAATAACAAATATTTCTATATTTCACAAGTGTTTTCTAACTGAACGAAATTTAATAATTCTCTCTGCTTGAGAAATTGACCTCTGTAAGAAGTAAGGCTACACGACAATTTATGGCACTGAAAAGGTACACAATCAATGACAGGTGCCAAACGGTTGATGCAATTCGGATTCGTTCTGTGAGTATTACGTGGTGGCCTTTTCATTCATGAGATTCACATTCTCATTCACACAGCAGCTCACGTTGGCACTGCTCTGACAAGCTGTCTGACATTTGCCAGATTTCGGAGAGCTAACACACACGTTTCTTGCATCGAATGTCAGACAAGTTAACACAAACACACCCACACCCACACCGACACATACACACGCACAGGCATTCACACGCATAAATTCGTGTTCTGGAGGTGATATTTGTGAACAAATTATGACTTTTTCATGACGCGTAAATGTGATGTTCAAATTGAATTTGGATTTTTAGCATGTTCATTTCACATTTGGCGTTGTGATCTTCCAAAATTTATTGTTTTACCTTGTCACTAAAAAATAAATAAAAAAATCTATTCTAAATTTAGAGCCAAATAAAACGAATAAGGAAAGATTTTCAAATGCAAAAGTAAAATAGGTATGGAGGAAAAAGATAAAGTAGACATTTCTTCGGGTCTCAACATTTTCTTGAGCACACTAAATATTATTATTATATATTTAGAGAAAAATACCTTTTTTTTTTTTTTTTTTTGTTATTTTAAGTTCATTGTCTGAAAGTGAATTATGTTTGAAACGGAAATTTTGTTACTTATTTGGAACTTTATTTTCAATATTCAATCAACTAAATCCAATTATATATTCAGGCAAGAAAACAATGTTTCCATTGCTTGATTTTCATAATTGGACAGTCTAGAATCATAATTATTATAATATCAATAATTCTGGGAAAGCAAAACACATTTCCGAAAACCAACAAATAAATGTTGATTGTTTTCATATTTGCTCACATTTAATGGAATTGATCTACTTAGCAACTGAACGACACTGCGAAGCCAAAGAACGTTGTGCAGAAGGGAAAACACAGCAACAACATGAAAGACAATTTTGTGTGTGTTTTTAGCTATTCGAGTAAACATTTGGCCTCTGGGCCAAAATGCGTGTGCCACTCATTGATGTTTTGCCCGAGCGGTAAGCAGGTGGTCGGGGTAGTCGGGTTGGAAGGCGCGGGGTGCTCACAGACGGAGAAATTGGCGACTGGTGTAAATGCCCTTTTTGGGGTCACGCCATTTGCCGGAAAAGTTTAGCAAACTGTGCTGCGTTGACGTCTTGTCCATTATTAATGCGGCCCCATTAGGGCACTTTACGTAATGCTCCCCATCCGAGGTACAAGAACTTTTCGACTAATCATGCGGTTGTTCGTGCTATAAATAAATCAGTCGACACGAATAGTGCGCCACTTATTGGATTTATTTTGCTTTTTTATTCAATAATGAGGAAATGCATAACAGAGTTAAAATCTACGTAATATTCAAGACTAATTAAAGATCTGAGCAGAGTTTTAAAATGATTTTCCTCAGTTTTATGCTAATATTTTCTACTTGGCATTTGCCTTTTTAATTGATTTTGCCTGCCCACTTCACGCAAAAGCTCTTGGTAATATTTTCTATATATACTCTATGCCAGAGAAATGCAAACAGCGCTGAAAGTTATGGGAGTGAGTTATGCCGCTGAGATGCCTGGATCGGTGCAGCAGGGGGAGCAGCAGCGGTAGCCACAGCAACAGGAGCTCGACTGCACACAGCCGCGGGTTCTCTAGAGCAAATAGGCACCTGTTGCTGTTGCCTTTGAACTGCGCCTGGCTGCCTGTTGCACGATTGCTGCATCCGGCTGGAGGAAGGTGAAGGAAGGAAGGCGAGTACCTGAGGCAAAAATTTGCATTAAAGGCAAACAAGAAATCGTCGGAGCAAGAGTTGATTTCTTGCGCAGCGTTGAAAAAATATGCAAAACAGTTTTTCCACTGAAGTACACAATTTGATTTGCTTTAGATTTTCCAAAAGGGAGTGCCAGACTGTGAGACATCCTCTTTGCAAAAAAGTTAAGGACACATCAACCGAAGGTTCGGCAACTTGTTGCCTTGATAGACAGCTGAACATGGGTATCCATTAATATTATTAGTCAAGATTGACATAGGTTGACAGTGTCAACGGTAAACGAACCCTTGTAGGTCATACCCTTCACTTTTCCATGCTACAGGGCATTCGAAAGTAATAAAAAATTTGCAATTGCAATTTAGCAGCGACTGCTAGGTAAATCAAATATAAATTAGATTGCTGCGCATGCAAAGCGAACTTTAATTAAAAAATCAAATGAGTCGTTGAGCAAAGCTAAATAAATAAATGTTAAGTATTAGCTTTCGGCATAAATAGCGCTTTAGATTGCATTATAGTTTACTAAAAATTCAATTAAAATTATTTTTAGCGGAAAATGCGTCTACTCTCCCATGAGCTCCATATTCACTACGACACTCCCTGGGCTTTCTTTGAAACATATATTTTTTCTTGAGGCAACTTTTAAATATATATTTCAAGCTAGCTAAGACTTTATTAAAAAAAAGTAAAATCAAAGGAATTTCTAGTTCTATGTAAACAAATATATAAGCATGTACTTATCAGCATTTATAAGCATTTATAATATTGATTATTTATTTATACAATTATTTGTCGTCATTTTAAATTGAAACTCAATGAGTTGCAGAGACAGAGTAGACTGCTCCCAGCAGCATGTCAGAGTTTTTGCAACTGGCCTCAAGTGAGTTCATAAAGAATAAAGAAAAAACACAACTCAAATGCTGCTGTAGCTGGTGAGGGAATTTAATTAAAAAGTTTTGTGTGTTTCAACAGTGGCAACAACTACAC